ACACACACACACACACACCTGCTGACTCTCATATATGGCGTTACATTTGTGCCACCAGCTTGAGCGTGCAGTAACACTGATTTGACAGCACATATCAATATGAAGGAACAATAGTAAAAAGAATGTCTGTTCAAATCACACACAAATTTGCTTACTGTAATTAAGAATCATTGCCTAAAATAATAATTATAATGTTTTTTCTACCTGGATTACTCAGCTGCATCAGGACATTGTCTAAAGTACACAATGACAGTAACCGTATTTGTACGCTCACCTAAATTTTCGCGGGCTACAACATTTAAAAATACATCTTTTTATCTTTAGTTTCATTAATAAATCAAATTTTGTGTCACTTCCACCTCTTGTTTCAAACAGCTACATTGATTAGCAAGAGCTGCTTTGATTGGGTGAAAAAAAACCTGTCTGTGATTGGCTGGTGATGTGGTTCATTTACATACAACTTGGGTTGTGAGCATAGAGACAGAGCCACGCCCGRGCAGAGGGAGAGTTGAGGGAGCAGGGAGGGAGGCAGGTGTGAGCAGTTGAGTCCTCGTGTGTGTGATTCACATGTGCATGCTTCAAATTATTGTTTGTTCATTTTCATATCTGCTCTCAAATCAGCATTACTTGTGAGCTCAAGCTGGTGGCACATAAGTAATGCCAAACTCACACACACACATCTGTACAGCTGATATACAGTGAATATAAAAAGTTTCCACTCTCCATGTTTGTGATGTAAAAATAATGAAACCATGAAAAATCATTAAAAAAGTTAACCACTTTTAAGGTGACAACATGTTTGGGGAAAATATTATTAATTTTATGTGCGATTTTAACTTCATTTCATTGATGGTTCTTCTTTGTTCTTGTAGAGCACTTTGGTCAACACTGTTGTTTTCAAATGTACTAAATCAATTTGACACTGACATTTAGAAAAAAACGATTAAATGTGGGCACATTGAAATAAATAACTTTTTGGACACATCTTTGTTTAATTTAAGCCTTCAGTACTTTTAGGAAAGAATTGTTTTAGCAGCCACATCTTACTTCACATAATGTTTGCCTGTTTTTGCTAAAGTCCAAATATGTCACATTTTGAGATTGTCTTGTGTCCTCAGCTCTCTTCAGTCACAAACCAGACTTTTTAAATCAGATGCAGCCTGTATCTGATTAAAACATGCTAGTTAGCTAACAGGTTTAGACTCTGTCTGGGACATTTTCTTTCTAGTGAATCCATTCTTTTGTTGATTTTAATATATCTATATGTATTGTCATTTTGAAAAATGAAATGTTTCTTTATTTTTCTAGCAGACACCTAAAGATTTGGGGTTAAAAAACAGGTTTTGGAGCTGTTTATCTAGCCATGAAACAACCCCACCCCTTCCCCCCATGTTGTGTTGCTGCCACCATGTTTCTCTGTGGGGATGGTGGGTTTTTGGTGATCCACAAACTGGTTTCTGCACCAAACATATGATCAGTTTCTGTCATTTCTTTGGTTTCAGAGGAGCAACCAATTGTCGGTTACRTTTCTTGTAGTTTTCTTCCATTTTTTGATGACTGTCTTCACTGTGCTTCACTCCATATTTAAGGTTGAGAAAAGGTTAGAATCTTCTAACGGATTATTTTGGTGCYGTTTGAACCTTTGATTTTACTGTAGGATGGAACAAAAATCCTGCTGGGCAGATGGGACTTGGTTCCAGGTTGATAAGAGTTACTTTTATTGAAACAAATAGTCTGAAACCTGAAATTAAGAACCCCAGGAAGAGTAGCCATTGTCACTGCAATGGCTACTGGGGATCCAAATAAAGATAAAGATAAATTAAAGCAGTAAGTGCATCAATAAATATACTTTGTTAATGGGCATTCACCTTTTTGCAACCAGCTCATTGCATTGACAAAAAGCTTTATTTTTATGTACATTTTTCTATGAAACAGATGTTTCTAATCTTGGGTTGTACAGAAYAGGATTTTTTATCATGGCTTCATTTTTTAACATTACAAAGTAGAGTATTTTAGTTTGGTGGTGAGAGGTATATCTATTATAAGTGATTAATGTTACCTGAGTGTGAACTCCCAGTCCACCAATGTGGATCACTGTGTTTCTGTTGATATCTAAAACTTGTGATGTTCCTGGTGATGTTCTTGTTATTCCAGGTCCTGGAGCCAACTCAGAGTCCACCTGATGGACAGACAGGGTACCATGGGCCCCAATCCTGATGACATCACCAATGACATAAACATTTAGTAGTTATTCCAGCTGAAATTGTATTTAACTGTTAATAAAATGTATTCACAGGGTAGCATTGATTCTGGTCCATCTGTTGTTGGAAATGTCAGTTCCAGGAATCTCCAGTCGTGTGGTGCCAGAACCCACATTCCAAAGCAGGGAAACCTTCCCATCATGCATCTCTACAGCCAGGAAGTCCACCTGGAAAAAAAGTTTTCACTACCCATGTGGACACATTTGTTTGCATTCTTTTACTAAAGAATAAAAGACTCACAACAGTCACTAAAGTAACATTAAAATGACAAAAGTAAAAAAAAGTAAAAATCATCCAATAAAAATCAGTGGTTGCCTTTGAACTTTGGTTCTGCAGTTATTTGAAACAACTAATGAAACTGACCTTGACAATAATAATGATGCTACCTAAACTTATGAATTTGTTTGCAAAACCTTTTGACACAATATGTGCAATCAAGTGATTTCTTGAATTCAGACTTCTGCACTTGCCCACAGGCATTTTGACCCACACCTCATGAGCAAACTGCTTCTGTTGTCTCAGGTTTGAAATGAGGCAATGCCCTCTCACCACTCCGGCCTGGGGAAGCAGTCTGTCACTCTCCTCTGGGGTGGCCACACAGCGTGGGGTGTGTGCGGCCACCATTGTCATATATTGTGCTAATACGGACTCCTGCTCATGTAAGTTGTTTGGTAATGGAAGATGATGTGAAGTAAATTCCAAGAGATGGCAGGAATACAACATTGATGGTTGCAAGCTGCCGTTAAAAACCAACGAAGAAGAAGGAAGARGAGGAACAAACACCAGCCGGTAAGGCTTTTGAATCGCTGCTGTTCTAGACATTGTTGCTTCTCACATGGTGCTGCAGTAAATGTAGTTAATGCAGTCACAGAGATAATTGCTTAGAAGGGTGTGGTCCAAACGTTTCTGATCAGTAACTCTTGTCATGTTTGCTTGACTTAAAAAGAACTGTTGAGAGTTTGTTTGGTTCAGATAAACCATGAGCTTAATTTCCCCTAAACAAACATAACTTCCTTTATACTATAGAGTTGTGATATTTTATATAGCATGATGGCTCATTGGTTAGCACTAATGCCTCACAGCAAGAAGGTCCTGGGTTTGATTCCCAGTTTGGACCTGGGGTTATTGCACACTGCATGTTCTCCTTGTGCTTTGTGTGGGTTTTCTCTGGGTACTTCGGTTTCTCCCAAAACCTGTAAAATAGGGGTCTTCAGGCCCAGGCCTTCTTTGAAAAAGAGATCTGTGATCTCAGTGGCATTTGCCTGGTTAAACGACGGTGAAATATAAACACATGGCTGTGGCGGAGTGGTTAGGGGAGTAGTTCTGGAACCGGAAGGTCGCTGGTTCGATCCCCCGTCCAGCCGTCTCAGTCG